CCTGCCCGGTGGAGTCGCATGGTAGAGTCGATGGTCTTTACACTCTTCGGGCTTCACACGAGGGCTGCCGCGGTATAGTAAGCTTTTTATATTCGTCTAACAAAACTCAAATTGAATTCAGCTGAGCACACCTTCCTGTTTATCACAACAAATGGCCAAGCAAAGCGCACGACACTGACAAGGTACGCGATACAGTACGAGACCAAACGCGATTTCGATTTACCTTGTAAATATCAAGTGCCATGGTATATGTGAAGTTATTAAACGTAATTTCGGGAGGAGTATGCCCATCTAATCTTCCAGTTAATGCCAAGGTATAAAAACAGCATCTTACCTCTTCCCATTGTTAGTTCTTTCGGCATCCCTCTTCCTCCTCCTTTTTTGTACAATTTTGCCTGTTATAATAGGGGGGCAATCGGAGCTCGAATAGAATATTCTCTCTGAGCCCCTCTATAGCAGACAACAAGCCAAATCTGTTTACCACTTACGCTAACATTATATGGGCACACAAACTTGTGAAATAAAATTACCATGGTATTACCATCTGATAGCATCACTATACCAGGCTACTAGCACTGTACTTTTTGTTTGGTGCAGATTTGAGAAATGTGAATGTTGCAGAGGTATCTGATCATCTTTTCTTACCAGCACGTCCTTTTTTGCACTCTCATCCATGCCTGTCACTGTATAAATAGGTTGTTTATTTGTAATTATGATGTTCAGATGATAGCAGACATTCCATTTCTCATGTGGTTACCTGCTGTTCTCTGACGCAAGCTGCTGCACTTGTGTGCTGAAAGCCAGCAGTGTTTAACTATGCAAGTAATTAAGTTTGTCAGCCATTGCTGAAGATGTATTCATTCATCTAGAGGTTTCACTAGCAAGATTGAGTTAAGAAGACCACATTTTCCAAGTAATGACAGGAAGCATATGGTTGCCACAAACATTTATCATTAAATAGATTGTTCATACGAACCCAAGTTCAGAGAATGGAGAAAAAGCATGCAAAGTTTTAGTGTAACTCCAGAGACAAAGTTGTGTGTGTGTGTGTGTGTGTGTGTGTACAGGTTTATATATCCTGGTGGGGATATAAACCTGAATACACACAGACTCATGGGGACTCATGTCATGGGGGGGACCTAAATTGGTGTCCCCACGGGTACAAAAGCTTATAAATCATACAGAATGAAGTTTTTTGAAAATCTAAAAATAAAAGAAAAAAAGAAAGTTTCCTGTGAGGGGTAGGTTTAGGTGTAGGGTTGGTGTAGGGCAATAGAATATACGGTCTGTACAGTAGAAAAACCATTACGCCTATGGAGAGTCCCCACAAGGATAGCTGACCAGATGTGTGTGTGTGTGTGTGTGTGTGCACGTTTTTGTGACATGAGGACACAAATCTGTATAATGACATGGGTATGACATAGATATTACAAGGAGAAGGTGACTTATGAGGACATTACCCCATGTCCCCATTTTTCAAAACGCTTATAAATCATACAGAGTGAGTTTTTTTGAGAAAGTGAAAATGCACAAAGTTTCCTGTAAGGGGTAGGTTTAGGTGTAGGGTTGGTGTAGGGTGATATAAAATACAGTTTGTACAGTATAAAAACCATTATGCCTATGGAATGTCCCCACAATTCACAAAAACAAACGTATGTGTGTGTGTGTGTGCGTGTGTGTGTTTTAGCTCCCCAAATTTCAGGTTGAGATAAGGTAAATTGTTCACTGTAAGACAAGATAAGTTGTTCGGCATAAGATAAGAAAACCCCTGCATATGTGTCAGAGCTTTCTTCTCAATAGACCAGAGTTGATGAATTCAAGTGAATTCCCCTCACGTCTCTGAATTATTGTTCCCTGCTTTTAAATCCTCTCAGAAACAATCGCAATTAACGCAGACGGACTGTGTGACAGAATTAATCTGGCTTTAGCCCAACTCTCGGAAAAACATTGTTTGCAGAATTGCACAGGGTGAACAGTGAGGGCCGAGGCTGTGAACGCTTGTGTTTTTCCTCTGTCTTGTGGTTTAACGAGGTCTTTATTGTCATTTGTGTGCATGGGTCATATTTGAGTGATTTATTTTTTCAGTCGGAGGACCTGTAATGATAGTGAGACCTATAGATGAATCCTACTGGTAATTAACATGAGTAATAAAAAGCTATTTTTAGACTAGCAATTTAAAAGGATAAATTAACTGACTTTTTTTTTTAGCCTTTTCTCTCTCCCTCTATGCTTTCCTCATACTTTTGTCTCGTTTTGCAATGATAAAATAAGTGAAAGTACATATTCTAGAAAATTACATTAGAGCTGTATCACAGCGGTAAGAAGACATAATCGTTATAGTTGTGTCTGGTCATGACCCAGTTGCATGTCATACCTCGCCGTCTCGGTTGTTTCCTTATCCCCCACCTCTTACTACACAATCAAACCGTTAATTAAATTATAGTAAAAATACATTATTGTATAAAAACAATTGTGTTTAATATTAGTGAAGAAAAGCATGATACATTTTTTCAGGATTCTGAATTAATAGAAACTTCAAAAGAATAGCACTTATTTGAAATAAAAATGTTTTGTAACATTATAAATGTCTTTACTGTCACATTTAATATATTGAATGTTTCCTTGCTGAATAAAAGTATTACGTATAATCTTACTGACCCCAAACTTTTGAAAGGTAGTGTAAATCCAGTTAAAAAAAATCTTAAAAAACAAAACAAAAAACAATGGCAATGGCACAGAATGGCAGTGTCAGTGTGCCAAATTATGTACTGACTTAGACTGAATTGACAATGAACTTCACAACACTGATTATAGTCTGCCCCCTAGCGTCTGAATACCGAACTCACAATTTAAATAATTTCTTTCTCTCACAGGGCCCTGAAATTATGCGGTCCTGGTGGTCCTCTGCATGTGAAGCTTGTGATTGAATGGGAGAACAGAATCAAAGAATGGTAAGATACATGCTGCTTCATAAAATGATCTTATTTAAAGGCAGACACATTCATTTAATTTAAAACCACCGTACATGTCAAATTCCCAGAATTGGTAAGAATCTTTTCATTTGAAAGTCATAAGTCATGTGTGATTCATATCTGTTTCAGTCTCTTTGGTAACATTCAAGAGGAAGTTATTGAGGATGCAGAGAGTGTGAAGATCCAGCAGCAGAATCATGTACAGCAGCACAGCTGCACACTGGATGAGTGTTTTCAGCTCTACACCAAAGAGGAGCAGGTACTCTCTCCTCCAATCATACACTCTGTTTATTTCTTCCTTTTGTACTGTTTTCTTACCTGTGTCATTTAAAGACAATGTACGTGTGTGTGTGTGTATATATACAGTATCTCACAGAAGTGAGTACACCCCTTACATTTTTGTAAATATTTTATTATATCTTTTCATGTGACAACACTGAAGAAATGACACTTTGCTACAATGTAAAGTAGTGAGTGTACAGCTTGCTTAACAGTGTAAATTTGCTGTCCCCTCAAAATAACTCAACACACAGCCATTAATGTATAAACCGCTGGCCACAAAAGTGAGTAAACCCCTAAGTGAAAATGTCCAAATTAGGCTACATTGTAGCAAAGTGTCATTTCTTCAGTGTTGTCACATGAAAAGATATAATAAAATATTTACAAAAATGTGAGGGGTGTACTCACTTCTGTGAGATACTGTATATATTATATATTCTCAAACATAATTTACTCCTGTGATGGCAATGCTGAATTTTCAACAGCTATTACTCCAGTCTTCAGTGTCACATGAACTTTCCAAAATCATTGTATGGTGATTTCGTGCTCAAGTAAAATTTCTTCTTATTATAAAAATATTAAAAACCGTGATACTTTTTTAAGGATTCTTTTGAACAACATTCAAAAAAGAACATAATTTATTTGAATTAGAAATAGGAATTAGAAATTAATAGTTTGTAACAATGTAATTGTATTTACTAGTCACTGTTGGTTCCATTCAATTTGTGTAACAATTTAAAATAACCTTTAGGTTCCACATTAAAAGCAGAATGTGGAGTTAGAAAGACACGAGGAGGACTTAATAATGATTGAATTTTCAACCAGGGCTGAAAAATGCCACAGAAAATGAGTTCCTCTTTTTTTATTTGTTACCTAACATTTGATATATTTCATAATGTTCTATTCTAGGGTCTGTCTGGTTATGAGTTCTGTGCCTCTGCAGACACTAAAGTGGCCTGTTGCTCTCATCTCTATTTGTTGTCTCAGAGGCGAATATTTAAGTATATGAAGTGGGTTTTGATGAAAAGCAAAACTAAAATCAGCTCTAAAAACATGGAATGAACATGAAGAAACTAAAAAATACTTGAAACAGTGATTACACTGAAATCTCTTGTGATGTAGAGAGCTCTACAATCTAACATAAGAGCCATCCAATTATATAAATCTGTATTTTAGCAGAGCATTTATGTTGTTAGGTTCTTTAGGATCTGAATCAATTATGTTGTTAAGATGTTAGGAGCTTTTGATTTAATATTATGTAGCAGCCATAATTGTTCAGATTGCGAATTTATTTCAATTAATTGATTCAGTTGAAGTATTTCACATAAATGGACAACATTCTGTGTTTTTGTATGCATAGAAAAAAAAGCACTCTTATAGGTCAAAATGCACCAAAGAATAAATTCTGGTAGGCAAATGTTGAATAAAAACTTAATTTTTGACACTAGTGGGAAATAATGCAGTACAAAATGTTCTCTGCAGAATCTACGCTTGCAAGTCAAGGCGTTAGACATTTCGATCGCTATTTCATATTCAAGATTATTCAAGCCGATTAAAAAAAACCATTTGAGGAGCAAATGGAGCTGGTCTCCCACCTACTGTCTTTGTCTCTCACATCCCACATTCTCTCACTTTCTTTTAAAGGTCACTCTGTTTTTGACAAGTACCACTTGATAAATCTTACCCATGAACACCCTGAGAGTTGCCTCATCATGATTGGCTCCACAAATTATTATCGATCCTCTAACAGTGTCATGTCATTACCGAGGCAACACTTCTACCAGGACTTCAGTTATGGAAAAAAAAAAAGGCTTTCAACATGGTGTGCAGTGCATGTGAGATATGGCTGTCCAGCAGGAATTAAATCGTGCATTTTTCTGTACTGAATATTTTGAAGATATAAATAACATTTTACTGATGGTCTGCAGAGTTCAGGTATAAATATTCAGATGTTGTTGTCCTTTCCTCTCTGCATGTCCACTGCAATCCAGTTTGTCGCAGCAGTGTAGATGTTTTACTGCACCACACTGAGACAAAACAGGTTCAGATAATGACATGGTTTAGTTGACCATGGAGAAACCTGCATTTCAACAAACCCAAGAAAGAATATGTTATTCATATGCCCGTGATTTTGAATCTTACATAGGGAGTAGCTGTCTAACTACATTGATTTGTTGTCTCTTACATACATCACACACGAGTGCTAGACTATGTTTATAGCAAATGTTTTTATTTCCCCTTGCAGTTGGCACCAGACGATGCATGGAAGTGTCCTCACTGTAAGCAGATGCAGCAGGGGATGGTGAAGATGAGCTTATGGACCCTGCCTGACATCCTCATCCTGCACCTCAAGCGTTTTCGGCAGGTGGGCAAACGGCGAAACAAGCTCTCCACCCTCATTTGCTTTCCTATAAGTGGTCTGGATATGACTCCCCATGTAGTGAAACGCAGTCAGAGCATGAAGAATCTGGCCCCGTGGCCTTCAACTTGGAAACATGGAGATACTGACTTCCTTTACGACCTGTATGCAGTCTGCAACCACCACGGAGGCATGCATGGAGGCCATTACACAGGTGAGCGTGCTGAGATCTCTGATAGTAAGAAGCAGGAGGTTGTTTGTCCATCTTAAAAGCATTTTTCTATTTTTCTTTATATAATTTTCTAATCTAGAAAATATTTTTCTTTATAACAATAAAGACACTTTTAACTCTCTCTAGTTTATTTGTCAAGTAAATGTCCAGCAGTTTAAATACATGCATTATAGGTGAATTTGTAGGTATTGTGTTTAATATTCTGTGGTGAAAATGATATTTTAAACCTTTTTAATCTAACAAAAATAGATGAATCCCACACACTGCTATAGCTTACAAATCATATTTTAAAGAAGCATTTCACTCACACTGCCTTCATCAGGAATTTTTTTCAAATAAGAAGTCAAACACACGGAAATGTAAAATACAAAGCAGCCAAAGAAGAGAACAACACTATCATCAATAACAGCCAATGACATAACAGAACAAAAAAAGTCCCAACCTGACTAAAGTACAATTAGCCAAAATAAATATATTACATACTCCAAGTATTCCTAGTACTCCTAGTATTATCTACAATTATCTCTATAAAATGTAAATTAAATAGATTTCAGTAGACAATGAATACACACCAATACGTGTCACAAATAAGTATTTAAAGGGGTCATATGATGCTATTTTAAAGATCATTATTTGGTGTATTTGGTGTAACAGAATATGTTGACATGCTTTACTGTTCAAAAAACACATTATTTTGCAAATACTGTACATTATTGTAGGTCCTCTATGCCCCGCCTCTCTCAAACGCGTCGTTTTCAACAAACCTTGCAAACGTACACATAACCATATTAATTTATAAATACAAAACACTAAATATCATCACATACAAATATGTAACAAATATACAATGTAAACTGCATTGTACTAAATCTTAAATACAAATACATATGTGTACTGTATCATATTAAAAATCATCAAAAATCAATATTACCACATGACATTAAAGAAAAGCTCATCATTAAGACCAATAGGAGTTTGAAGGGTGTAAATCCTCATGTCTTTGTAGAAAAAGGTCAATGTCACCACCTCTAGGTGGCACTTTGACCTTTCCAATTCCAAAGAACTGGAGTGTCAACACATCACGATTGAACTTATTAAAACGTAGCGCTACTGGATAATTTATGTCCTTTCATCTGATTGAACTTTTGTGTTCACTAATACATTGTTTGAGTTGTCTAGATGTTTTACCCACATACCCCAACCCACAAAGACAATGGGTCAAAAAAATCATGTGTTGAAAGATGGGTAATAATGCTAGAAATAAGAAAAAATGCTTAGTTGCGTTAATAAGTTGTGCCCAATTATTTATTTGAAATTTGTCATTCCTATTGGGAAAAGGACTGAGCATGGTCTGGTTACTAGTAGGATCCACGACTGTGGATAACCATGTTGGGAAAAACATGTAAGCAAAGTCTCCACCTTCTCTATAAAATCACAATCTCTTAGGAATTTTGGTCATTAAACCTGCAAATAAAGGTGGAGCAATTATAGTACAGCATTGGAAGAAATACGGTATAAACAAGTCATTTTGTCACAAATGTCTATGCTAATCTTTGATCCTGCACTTACTTTTCAAAGTGAGATATTGTCGTTTCTAAATAATGCAAAAGAACAGGGTTGGATTTCCCAGAAAGGGTTTGACTTCCTTTGTTGTCAACACCCAATTAGACCTGTGTTTTGCACTTTACAAAAAAAAGGTCTTCTCAGACCAATTCTCTTTTGTCTCCTTTGTCACAGTATGTGAATTATTTTTTTGTGCATGAATGAAAAGAAAAAAAAAATTAAAAAGAACAGCATTTGTTTAAAATATAAATCTTTTTGTAACGATATACACCACCGTTCAAAAGTTTGGAGTCAGTACATTTTTTTTCTTTCTTTTTTGAAATTAATATTAATTAACACTTTATATTAATAGAAATTAATACCTTTATTCAGCAAGGATGTGTTAAATTGGTAAAAAATGATAATAACGACTTGTTTTTATTGTTAGAAAAGATTTCTATTTTCTTCTAGAAATAATTGTTAGAAAAAATATATATTTTTTAAGATTTGTACCTTGAATGGCATAAAGGCAGTTATATGTAGAAAAAGTATATATATAAAAAGGTCAATGTCATTTATATATATATATATATATATATATATATACAAACACAAATATACATACATACACCACTCCAGCAGATTACAGCATATGTCTTTGTAAAACAGCCTACTGTAGAAACTCAGTGGATGGCCACTGGTACAGTTATGACGACAGCAGTGTGGAGATTGTGCCAGAGGAGGAACTGTGCACACGGGGGGCGTATATCCTCTTCTATCAGAGAAGAAATGTCATCCCACCCTGGTCCGCCAACAGCTCGGTCAGAGGTGAGTAAATGAGCCTTTGTGGCCACATTTCAGATGGAGGCTGACAGACCTTTTTCGCAGTGGTTCAACATAGAAAGCAGCTGAAACAGTTTTTTTCTTATATGCACTGCAGTGATAATGTTCCAGCGACAGAAGTTTTGAGTGTAGGTCCAGATTTTCTGACTGTTGTACAAGTCATTTTATCTTACAAGCTCAATCGACAGTATTTGCAGTATGTTAATTGCCCCAGAAATTCATTTCCACTTGTCGCTCCCCAGCATTCTCTATAAAGATGATTTTGAAAATACTTATGCAGTAATCATGAAGGACTGAACTGTAAAAAGTGAATGAAGGTTTTTTTTAGCTTGAGTTCATTTTGACTGGTGGCTAAGATGCCGCTGCATATTCAATGCATGACTTGGTCGTCATGGAAACGATAATACAGAACATGTGCGGGTGATGAATTTTAGTTATTAAAAATGAAGAGGCAGTGAGAGAGCACAGGATGCTTTACGCCTAGGAGAAACATGGACCAGCCACTGAACAGTCTTTATTGTCTCATTGAACAGGTTCCACCAGCTCCTCCATGTCAGATCACTGGCTCATCCGTTTGAATGGTGATAGCAAAAGAGGAAGTATGGTATCACGGTCTTCCACAACATGCCCTTCTTCTATCCCAGACTCCCCAGAGTCTCCCGTCTTTCAAAATGAACCCTCAGTTGAAGAGAGAGGTGAGTTTACCCAGCAAGTTTGTTGTAAATAAGAAATGTAAATACTAAAAGGATGCACCTTGACAGAGATTTCATAATAGTTCTTCACTTGTTTTGTTGTGGGAAAGTGTTTTCCACCATGTGGTAAATATTGTATTAAATGACAGTGTCTTTAGGTGGGTTCGAAAGCAGACCTTTCGTGCGAGGAATCCAAGGGCGTAGCATAAGCATGAAAAGTCCCACTAAGACCAGGGTGCTCCCACTGCGATGGTCCTTTGGAAACAAAGACCGCCACAAACCTGCCCAAGCTCCTGGCCAGGCTCCTGCAGAGCTGGTGGAGTATTTAGAGTCTGGCAGAAGGCCAAGATGCACCAAAGACCCCATTGTTGCCCTAATGACTCGACCTTCAGATAAAGAAAGCGGTAAAGACGATGATACGAAAAAACCCACAGCCAAATCTTCAAGCCACAGCAGCCTCGGACCTCTAGAGTATCTCAAAATACCACAGGGTCAAGAAACATGTAGTTCAGAGAAAGCAATGGGCCAACAACCAAGCAGCAGCAATAGACCAAGAGAAGATGGAACTTTGACCAGACGGAGCAGCAGGAAATCAAAACAGGACCGATCACAATCCAGAAACGGCTCCGGCACAGGGATCCAATCCAATTTCAGCGGTCCAAGAGGGTGGGAAACAACAAAGAGGGATGATCCAAGCAAGGAGCAAGACCAACTAGAGGAGAAACCGAGAAAGGGACAGGAGACAAAACGTCCCGATAGTGTCTTCGCTTTTCTTAAAGGCGGTTTCATGAAGAAAGACTCGCTTCGGAGGTCTAGAGACAGTGAATCTGTGAAAAGGGGTGATGCAGAGGTGAAGAGCCCATCTGGAGATTCTCTCTCCAATGGGACACACAATAGAACTTCAGAAGGTAAAGCTAATAGCACAAACCAAGTTCGTAGCAGACTCGGTGGCGAATTTGCAAATGGCAAGGTCAGTCATGGGTCATCAGACATCAAACGCTCACAAAGTTCTTCCAATATTCAAAGCAAGGCTGATCTAGGCTTAAGAAGAACGGCATCTTTACACAGGAACAGCACATCGGCGGCCCAGCCGCAGAGCGTTCCTATGGACAGGGGCTCTCAGAATACCCTGCAACGCACACGCTACAGCACAAACTCACTGGGCAGAAAGAAGGCAGTGCCTGAATCAAGCTTCTGAGACTGACTTCACTACACCCAAATATCACAACAGCATAGCAAATATCTAAAAGCCCACATAAGAACTATGGTAAGAAAGATATGTTTGAAATGATGGCAGCACACTATGAAGTTGCACATACATTTGGAACTAGTGGATGATATTTTTGTTCACTTTTTTCTGCTTATATGAAGTGCCTGTGAACCAGAGCTATTTTTTAGATTGTCGGATTGTGTTTTGGCACTGGAAGTACATTATACGCTGGCCTTTGCACCATAATTTTGAATTGAAAAATGATTTGCCTCGGATTTGATTTTTATGTGTCACTAAATAGATTTATCACCTGTAATACATGAAGGGAATTGCTATATATAACTTTTTAGTTTCATCTTTTATGATTCTGCAGATTGTACTGACTGGCTGCTAACCTCCCATGGGTTTTCATGACATTTAACAAAGATGTCAGTTCTTGCACTTTCAGTGAATTTATTGCACCGTCTGACTTAATCGTGCTCTCAGACCAAAACATAAAGCTTATTCATTTTTGCTTGTTTTGCAGTATGCATTAAGATATTTACAAATCTGTATTATAAAATTACTTTTGAAAAGTATGAAATCAAACTGAATCTAAAACGTGTGCTTTAGGTGAGATATATTTCTATGGATGGCATGTTGACAACACAATGTATTAGACAGAACACCTTAGTAAAACAGTGTCACTTCTGAAAAGCACAATCACAATAACCACACCTTATCACCAGTGGTTTAATCTATAACCTAACCACCTAAACCTAGTTTGAATGCAGTAACAAGAACCTGTTTAACTTAAAGGACAGTACACCAAAAAATGAAAATTGTCATTGTTTATTCACCCTCATGTTGTTCCAGACATGTTTTTGTCTTTTTTTTTTTTTTTCATCAATAGACCACAAAAGGAGATGTTAAGAAAGATGCTCATGCTGCTCTTTTCAATTCAAAGAAAGTGAATGGTAACCAGCAAGCTCCAAAATGACACCATTAACCCCTACTGTGTCTTATTTGATACATACATTTTAACTAGGGCCTCTAAATGATCAACAAATCAAAACATGACTAAAATCCTGTTCTACATGTTTAACACAATCTTCTACATGTCTTCTGCCCTCTGATTGATAGTATATGCTTCTTCTTCTTTCTTTTTTTTTTTTTAGCAAGGACAAGGCCTTTTAGTATAATTGTAAAAATGTCCACCTTCAGGTTGTGGTACACATGTCTTTTTGCTGTGAAATCTTGATTCATATAAATGTAAGTAAATGTAAGAAGAACTTTAGTAGTAATATTAATATTTTAAGATTTATTGGACTGAAGAAAGTTAGGTTTAGACAAACACACAAAATTATTAGTGTATAATGATAGACTTAAATTTCAGCCTTTTTCCTTACACAAAGTCATCATGTGGCTTCAGAACACTTGAAATTTATCAGACATGTAATACGGACTACTTTTAGTGTGCTGTTTGATATATTTTGAGCTTGACACCCCTTCCTAGTCATCATTGACTTTTATTGTATGAACAAGAAGAGCAGCGTGTCGCCATAAGGGTTCCAAAAAACAACAACCAGGTTTGAATTCATTTATTAATTTTTGGGAAAATATTCCTTTAATCCAGCTCATCTGAAAATGTTTGACATGTTCAAATAACATGGAGATCTACGTAGCAATACCAATGACTGCAGAATAAAGAAAAGCCTCGATGTAACCAGTAAAGTGACCTTAGAATAGAAATCCATGACACCGATTGTGTTTGGCTCTAATTGCTTGTAACAACAGTCAGAATATGTCAAATTGTCTCCTTTCTATTTGGACTAATTGGGTCCGTATATCCATTAATCTGATGAATAAGACGAGACAAACAGTCATCCCTCTCCAGAAGCATTTGAACAGTCTGAATGCAGCTCATTAAACACTACTGCTATATACACACTGCAAAGCTCATTCTTTTGAAACTATAACATTTTAGCATGCATTACACGTTATGAAAGACTAAATTGCTTCTTTTTTGAATTAAAAATGTGAATTAAAACTCAAATATCAAACTGAATCAAAATCACACATTTGCGTTTTAAATTAATCTAACATGGTATAGACCAAACAGTAAGGGTCCTATTGATTATTGCACATGATATGGAATATTCACAAGCTCCTCAAATGTAAAATACTATTTTTTTTATATCTTTGCAATCTATCTGAATTTCTTCAAACATTGGCTCATTAGAAAAACATGCCTCTACCTCCATTTTTGCAAAACTCCAAAAACGTACCTACACATAATATTCAAAGCAGTTTCCAGCTGAAATTAACACTAGTGGCAGTAAAACACTAACATCTGTTATTCTTTTTTAGACACATTATGATTACAGGAGCAGATTATTCATTAATAAAGACTTATTTTTGTGCAGTTCCTTGCACAATATTATGGTATGACCTCAGAAGGCTTTTACCATAGTGCATGATTTGTAAACTATAGCATTTACATCACATGACCAGCTCCATATATTATGCTCCATCTGATATAGTAAACTTGCTCTGTAACTCACCTGGTACAACACTGCAAATGTGATGCAGAGCACTTGCGCAGGAGTGCTGCTGAAACACAAGTCACAATAAAAGAGCTCGAAGATTTGTAGATGCAAGCTAAAATGTCATGGCAAATGTGTCCTAATCTCATGATTTTAACAATTTACTGTGGGTGGTATTGTATGTCAAACGTGATAGATCATTCACATTTAGCGCCACAGACTTTTCATTTATGAACTATGATTTGATGATTACAACAACCAATGTAATGAAATGTTGCCAGATTCACATCCACCTGTTTCAAGGAGGATTAAACGTTAATGCCACCTACTGGAAAGTGCGGTGGAAAGAAGCAACATAATCTGGCCGAAATGTTGCCACAGCCACGTTTTTCCAGTGAACCTGGGTACTGTATACACTAAAGTTTGAATTGCACTGCAGAATTAGGTTTAATAATTGTGGAAAATTTACAGATATGCTGTTTCTATATCACACAATTTATATTAGTTTTTGTTGATCTGAATAAGCAAATATATGAAATAAAGTTTTGTTTGTGTCAGTGCTCAAACACTTTCTGTTCAGAGCAAAGGACACACTGTCAAAAGAAAAAAAAAGTGTATACTTTTATATTGCATTTTTTTTGTCCATTACTGTGCTGTAGAAGTTGTTTTACCATCGAACCAGATAAGAGATGATTCACAGTTTTTAAGTTTTCAGCACAAATTGAAAAAAACTAAACAAGGAAAAACTGTTTTCTCTCTTCCGCTGAAATCTGTGTACGAAACACACTAAAGGATTGTCTTCTTCTGTCAACATCTAATCATCCCTGTTTATTCTGTTGAGTATGTCAAAGGGGTTATGCAAAAAGCAGCAATTACACAGCATGTAACAGGATTTGTGTAGACACAAAGGTCTGCTCCACAAGGGCATTTCTTTTTTCCACTCCCATGCTTCCAAAATAATCCTAATTTTCACTATGCTTGAAATAATGAACACTTGTACTGACAAGACAATGAATGAAGGATCTTACCCTGAAATCTTCTCTTTTTTTATTTGGTTTTTGAGATGTTTTATATGCAACTTTTTATAAACATTTTGTAATGTCTTTGTGTGTATGTATATAAATGTTATACAAAAATCAATGGATAATATATCTGGGAACAGTATATATGTAGGGATAGATTATATGTACAATTCAAATTATCATTGGATTATTGCACAAGGGTACATGTTCTGCTGTCAAGATGACTATATACAGGTTTGTGTGGACCTGTGTCTACAATAACAAGTAACTGATATATTTTTGTAGAATTTTTTAATTAAAAAGACATTGGCATTCACATCACGTTTCTTAGACTTTTTTTTTTAAACACTAGTTTAGCATTTGTCTTGGTTGACATCTAAAAGTGTGTATTTATTTGCATACTGAATGACACTAAAGCTGTCACTGCTCTTTGCAGCACTTTGACAGTGAAACTCTCTTTCTGCACTGGCTACAATAGCTCCAGTTCCTGCAAAGAGCAGCGTGATCCATTCCTCAGCATACACTACCCTATAGTCTCGATCCTCAGTTTGAAGACTTTGGTGTCAATGTTTCAGTATTCATGCTGTGTCAAGTAGAAATCTAAATTCTAGTATTTTTCTGTATTTATTCACAGAGGCTTGATTTACATCATTTTAGATGCTAATTGCTATTGTAGCAATCCATGAAGCAGAGCAAACACAGAAGTCACTTTCAAACCAAGGAGCTTTCTGTTGGTCATTGCTGTGAATTGGGGAACTACTTTGCCCTCACGCAAATCTCCCAATAGTGCACAGATTCCTATTGAAATGACTGGATTTCTCAGGTGAAATTTTACAGAGCAACGGTAAATGTGACTGCATCTTGAGGCTGTCATTCTGCTTAACATTTAATTTTGTATTCAATGGAAAAACGTGAGTCACTTTTACAGGTTAGAAACAACATGAGTCAAGTCAAGTCACCTTTATTTGTATAGCGCTTTATACAATACTGGTTGTGACAAAGCAGCTTTACAGAGTCAAACAGGAAAATAGTTTGTCAATGATGCAAGAAGACAATAACAGGGTCATTTTTCAGCTAAAGTCAGTTCATTGATGATTCAGTGATGTCATCATCCAGTTCAGGAGTCAAGTCAAGTCACCTTTATTTGTATAGCGCTTTATACAATACTGGTTGTGTCAAAGCAGCTTTACAATGTTAAACAGGAAAATAGTTTGTCAATAATGCAAGAGGACAATAACAAACAGTAAATTTTTCAGTTAAAGTCAGTTCATTGATGATTCAGTGATGACATCATCCAGTTCAGCTCTCTTCCAAATGTGTCTGTGAAATCAGTCAAGCGTCCCCAACTAAGCAAGCCAAAGGAGACAGTGGCAAGGAACCAAAACTCCATCAGTGACAGAAATGGAGAAAAAACCTTGGGAGAAACCAGGCTCAGTCGGGGGGCCAGTTCTCCTCTGGCCAGATGAAACCAGCATGGCGTGGTTTAATTCCAGGCTGCAACACAGGTGCAGAGGTCTTGTCTGGTTCCCGTGGTCTTGTGCCGATGGTCGTTGAGATGATGAGGTCTTCTCAAGGGATCTGTCTCTGGGTCGCATCTAGTTGACATGGTCTCCGCTGACATTCAGGGCTGTAGAGGTCGTCTCTAGGTGCTGATCCACCATCTGGACTGGATACGGACTGGATCTGGGTGGCTACGGTGACCTCGGAA